TATTATTATTATTGCATATTATGGTCTTTCTCGATTTGCATTTCGTTGAACAGCTATTAACGTGTGTTTTGGGTTGGAGCAAAGCGTTTGTACGCAGCGCTTCACAGTGGTGGGCGGGGCTAAACATATCTATTCGTCGCGCGCATCGCAGTGTAAGTCCCGCCCACCTCTGTAAGTCCCGCCCTATTATGATCCATTATCATTATAATTAATATAATCATTATCGTTATTAATGCAATGCACAATGTGTTCGTCGTTTCTGTACGTTTTGTTCGTTGAAATGGTTTAATATCGCTGATTCGTTGTTATTTTATAAATGAAGATAAATTTTATTGAATTTTTGTGAAGTGGTGAATTTTTTGAGGTGGTGTGCTCGAATTGCAACGAATTATTATTCATTATTGGAATTATTATTATTATTATTATTATCGTGGTGATTTTAAATTTTTTGGAACTTTTGCTGTTAACGGGCGCCACCGTGCGCATGTGCTTAGATTAGCGTGTGCTTTGCCGGATGCTTTGTATGAATGCAATTCGAAGTGAAATCCGGAGTGTGCTTAAGATTAGACTTACGATTAGCCGAGTGATCTGGATAACGATTTGGCTTTGACTTAGGTGTGTGTGGAGCGTATGTGAGCACACGAGCGAGTATCTGTGATAACGGGCACGGTGGCGCCAGTTATCAGCAAAATTATCAATTTATTATTATTATTATTATTATTATGGTAATTTTCATTGCAGAGTATTTTCCGTTGCAAACGCAAAGGGAACAGAATAATATCCAAATATCAATTGTATAAATGTAAATAAACGATAATAATAAATAGAAATTATCATTTCATTATTCAGATAAATACCTATTAATATAATAAATAAAGCAATGGAACGAAAGTTTCTGCGTCCCAATAAAATGCGCCCTTCGCCATTGGAAGAAAACTTTTGGGAAGCTGAACTGGAGCGAGAGAGGGCGAAAATATCGTTGGGAAATGGCGCCACAGAGACTGAGAGGGCGTACGCGAAGGACTGCGAGTTTGGGCGAGAAGTAGGCATGAGAGTGGACGAAATAGTGCGTAAAAATCGAGAGACGATAGAGAAAGAGATAATCAAAGGGGTACCTCTTATGAATACATTCAATTTCTTCCCAGTCATTAATTTTAATGGTAAAAATAAATATATATTCGAATAATTATAATATTAAAACATAATAATTATAAATAATAATAATCAACGAAACCATTGGACAAGCTGATGATATAAAGAAGAGTTGGTGTGCGAGCGGTTTGTGGGCGGGGCTTGTTAATTGTTAAGCCCCGCCCACCAACCGCTCGCGAATCATGTCGATGGCTTTTGATATGGAGATAACGGCTTTGGAACAATGATAACAGCTCTGCATTTTACAATAATAATAATAATATTAATATATAATAATATATAAAATAGTAGTAATACTTATAATAATAATGAATATAATAATATATAACGTAATAATAATAATGAATACAATAATATGTAAAATAATAAATATAATATAAAGTAATAGTAATGCATACAATAATATATAGAATAATAATAAATATAGTAATATATAAGATAATAATAACAAATGTAGTAATGTATAAAGTAATAATAATATTGCATAAAATAATAGTAACGCATAATAATATACAAAATGATAATAATACATATAATATATATTATAATAATACTTAAAATAATAATAAAAGTAATAATATATAAAATAATAATAATAAAAATTGGCAGATCGCTCCGGTGGCCGTGAATATCACCGGAAATCAGTACGAGAATCTGATCTCGTTGAGTTTCGATCAAGACGAGTTGTTACGACGCGAGGAGATGAAGAGGGAGAGGGTGCGCAAGAATATCATTAATAATACGTTGTATAATAGTAATAAATAACATTTGTTAATGTATTATTATTATTTAATATTATTATTGTTATTGTTATAGTAATTGATATTGTGTTATGTGCCGATGGTATCGTTATTATTATTGTGGTGGGTGTGGGTGGGAAGGATTTTGGGGTTTTGATGGAGTTATTTTTGGTGGTACTTTATTTGTTGTTGTTGTAATTACTGTTTATGATTTGTATTATTATTGTTATTATTATTATTACTATTATTATTGTTATTATTAATATTATTATTATTATTATTGCAAAAAATTCTGTGAATTTTTGCGCGTTTACACAGTTGAGTAACTGAGAAATTGAATTTTTGGACAGATTTCGGGCAAAATTTGATAGAAAATGGTCATTTTTAATTAAGAAATTGGTAATTTGGTTACTGTTATCATTACTGTTATTGTTTATTATTATTATTTTATTATTATTACTTTAGCATTGAGTAGTAACGATTATTATTACTTCTATCCTACTAATGCATGTTACTCTTATTTATTTATTTATTCATTTATTTATTCATTTGTACAGTTATGAGCGCCTCAATAAACTGATCTCATAGCGGATTATGTAAGAGATCCAGGTCTCATATTGTAACGGCAAGTAGGACTGGAGAAAATCTTCTCTTTGACTGTGTTAATTTGGAAAAAAATTTGTTCAAAATTTTCAGAATTCATCCTTCTGCACGATTACACAGTAAAGTTACTAAGAAATTGAATTTTTCGACAGATTTGGGCCAAGTTTTAATATAAAATGGCCATTTTAACTAATAAATTGATAATTTCGCCAGAAATAGTTTAAATTTTGAATGAAGATGGCAGTTTTTAACTGAGAAATTGATTATTTTGACTGATGTGGGCGTGATTCCGGCTAAAAATTTCCATTTAAACTGAGAAATTGATTATTTTGACAGAAATAAGCCGTTGTTTGATTAAAAATGGCCATTTCTACCCAAAAAAAATCGATTATTTCGACGGCGGTAGGTCAAATTTTGACTGAAATGGCCATCTTCAACTCAGAAATTGACTATTTTGATTGATTTTGGCGAAATTCTGGCTAAGAATTGCCATTTTCAACCGGAATAAATGAATAAACCTGATTATTTACCGGAATAACTTGATTAGTTTGACAGAAATAGACAAATTGACACAACGCATGTAAATGACTAAAATTGCTGTGAACGAACGC